TCTATCTATCTATCTATCTATCTATCTATCTATCTATCTATCTATCTCTGTCTTTCTGCCTGTCTATCCTCTACCCTTAATTGTTTTCGTTTGACCCAAACATTTAAATATGCATTTATTTAATAAACACCTCAAAGTCCTTGTTGTTCACATGAACAATCAGGTGGTATCTCCTTTCAAAAAATAAAAAACTGTTACGATGTACATTTTTCCTTTTGTTTTCCTCTTAATGGATCTTAGAGGACATGCCTTTGGCACTTTGCATTAGTCAGACCCGCACATGAATCAAATCCTGCCCAGCCAGCTGTCTCTCAATGGCATGAAGTGCAACTCAGCAAAAAAGCCTCACAGGCGGCACGTTTCAGTGGAAGCAGAGTAGTGCACGCCTGGCATACCAAGTGTCTTTACAGGATGATAGAGGGCTCATCTGAACTGGGCTAGATTAGTAACCTGAGACACAGCACATTTTATCTTTTGCCTCATTCATGGAAACAAGAGTTTAAACAAATAGTTGAGCGGATCACAGTTGTTTGTCTTCTGCAACATGGAGTGAAGGTCAGAAGCATGTGTGATTTGTGTCACTTTTAACACCTCGTGTTTGATACACATAGCACAATGACACGTGAGCGCCAACAGGTTTTTACGAAGCTCAGTGCAGGAGGAACAGCATGCACAGATGACAGTGAGGACACACACTGAAACACAGAGGACTTTGAAACATGCTGAACATAGAAATGGCCTGATGCTGCAGACCAGAGGGATCCTCATCAAACAGATATCTTATACACAATACAACATAGAAAGTATATCAGATGCTAAAAGTGAGCGATTTACTTCTTTATTCATTGTAATAGCCTATTTAGATTTTGGTGGCCGCAGTGTGGTTTAAAAATAAGCAACTGGAGGAAGGTGTTGCACCATTTTATGATAGTTTGCAAAAGGTATGTACCATGATTTTAGTATGAAATCCTGGAGAGTCAGAGTCTCTTGGGTGTATTGTGAGTGTGCAGCAATCCGCACACAACTGCATCTATTAATTGTGGAGCAAATTCAGTAAAATGTTGTGCACTGCTCACAAATGCAGGTTTAAGCTCTGCCAAAGAAATGCAAGGAATAGGACATATTGGAACATCAGCTGTCTTTTCTGGGACAAAGCTGATTTAGATTAATCTAAGACAAAGTGGAAGACTGTTTTATGGTCTTACAAATTAAAATTTGGACTTGGCAGGACGCATCACCGCGAGAGAGGGACCATCTGGCTTGTTAGTGCTCACTTCAAAAAGCTTGTGTCTCTAATGACGTGCGCTTGTTGCCTATGGAACCAGCAAGTAGCATATGTGAAAATTTGCTATTAATATCAAGTCCTTGAATATTTAATAAAGACTGCATTAAACTATAATTAATAAATTACAACAGCATGGTTTAAGAGGAATTCAGGTCCTTTACTGGCTTGCCTGTTAAGTGTACAGTGTATAAAAAAGATGATTACAGGAAAATGTTTCTAGTGGTTCCTGTTAAAGGGGATGTGACTGGATATTTGGAGAGAAGCACAAATATTTCTTTGTTATTTTGAAACAGCAGAAGAGTAAAAATAAAAAAAGAAATTATGAACATAGTTAACTTCATGTCTCAAGGCAACAAGTTAACCTTTTACTATCCTAACATTTCACACCAGTAATGCAGCCATCATCACTTTCTATTTTCACCCTGGCTCCACAGTTAACCCACATTGTTGCAAAGTATGTCAGCACACAGATAAGAAAGGAGGGCTGTAGGAAATGCAGGTCTTGGGCATTCTATCTGTATCCAATTTGACCCAATGTTTAAAAAGCTTGATTCTCACCGCTGATGAATATGTCAATGATGCTTACTCTCAGCATTAAACATTTTTTTAAAGATTGAATCTGACATATAATTCTAATTGGTGTTTAATTTGTAAACATATCCACAACATTTTCTGAGATTTCTTCCATTAAAACATTTTCTACATGTACAAACACTGCAGCACTGGCTAAAGAATGTAACTTTTTGCAGTGGCATATCTAGTTCTCCCCATGTGACGGGCAGAGTGTCTCTCTAACCAACCCACTGGATTCCATCACCTTTTAGCCAGCAGAGCTGCTGGGGGCCACAGAGCCAGATCCAATTACTGCAAGAAAATCTCTGTTGAGACAGTGTGATGAGAGAGAAATTGCTGATGAGCTGAGCAACTGTGCCCAGAGTTTCATCAGCCAAGTACCCATTCAGAAGCACATACAAAGTAAGAGAAAAAATATTGGCTCAGCAGTCAAGGTTTTCTCCTTCAAATGTCACATTTGCAGGTTTTCTTTCAGTTTCTACAAACGTTTGACAAATAATTGCATACGGTTGAATAATTAAGCCCCCAAGAATAAGGAATATAAATTCTTTAAATTGTTGTGTGTTCAAAACCCAATGCCAATACAGGACGAATAGACTTGGATTTTAAAAACTATGCTGTCAGATCAAAATAGACTTGATCAGATCCCCAAAAATGTTTGAAAATGTTGCATGGCCTGTTTAACTAAATACACCAATAGGACCAAACACCAAAAACAATTAAATGCAATCATCGAAAACAATTTTTGACACACGTGTGGGGCAAACAACTGTTTGTAACTTAAAACACGACCATTGGTTTTCCATCCCAAGCGGATCGATTCAGTTCAGAAGAAAAGAAAGATAAAAACAGTTTCATAGCAAAATAATTTCTTCCACGTATATAATTGCTTTTTTTATTTGTTTTATTCTATGTCTAATAGTTAGCCAATTAGAAAAGAGCTTCGGGGCCACCATTGAAGCTGTGTTCTGATTGGTCAAACCCACTGGTCAGCTGAGTGGGAGAAGGTTTAAATATTCCTCGGCCCTCTCCCTGAACGCAGTGTGTTTGTGTGTCAGTGTACGTGTGCGAGAGGTGAAGTGGCGTGGGTGTGTGATTGTATTTATTTGAAACCGTCTAAACTAATTTATTTTTGCACTGATTAGTATTTGAGGTGAGTAACATATTCTCATTAACTCGACATGTCGGCCGGATTCAAACGAACTGTCAAACTAAGTTCCTTTCTGGGGCGAGCATTAAATATCGGTTTGTTTCAGGAGCCTCAGTTAAATCCTGCAATAACTGTCTTCACCGTAGCTGTTGCCTCTTTAAACGGGCTCTATTGCTGTGTGTGTGTGTGTGTGTGTTGACGCTACTGCCTCTGTGTTCAGGCAGCTTGTTCGGAGTCCCACAATAATCGCTCACACACTCCCGGACTACTTGAGGTTGTCGTCATGGTTGCTACGAGCACATTGAAGAGCAAAGGCAGCGACTGCGTTTCGGAGCTGGTGGACAGAAGATATGACGAGGCTTCCATTGAGAAAGGTATGCTTGCTGGGTCTTTCTGTGCGTTTTTTTGTTGTTGTTGCTGTACCTCGCCTGGATATTTCCAGTTGTGTGCTTGTTTATCACTGTGTGGTGCATGGCTGCAGCAGTGGAGGGCAGGGGGGCGGGAGGATGAAGTCATCCTCAGTCTGTCTGCACAATAGCCTACCTCTAATGGCACGGCTAAGATGGGCTTTTTATGCCTGTCTACAGCTGAATTGGCTTAAATTTTTTATTTTTTTCTCCTGTTGCTTCATTTAATTGTATAATTTTAGTACCTCATGCCCATCTCTTATCTCACCACCCTCTCTTTGATTCTAACTAGAGGGCGTGCAAAGTCAGACTACAATTTCTTAGTCACTTTTGTGGTTTAAAACTGGCTGCTGTTCTGCTGTCAGTATTGTTTGATTAAAAGTGCAGCATTGGGTCCCTCACACTACTTGTTTTCCCAGAGCTGGACTACTGGGATCACTGCTTGACTGAGCCCCAGAGGACTGCAGACGCCATTGAGGACAGAACGTGTCACCAGCTGGCCAAAATGTTTGAGAGCTGCCTGTCTCGGGCCAAAAAGACGACGCTGCACTGCTCCACTGTGCTGGTACCGGAGAAGCTAACCCGGAGGATAGCCCGCGAAGTCCTGCGGCTGGCGTCCTGTGAGCCCTGTGGCCTGCGTGGGTGTGTTTTATACGTCCACCTGGAGCTGGACAAGGGCTGCAAGCAGCTGGAACGCATCGCGTACGATGCAACAGTGGTGCCCACGTTTGAACTGACTCTGGTGTTCAAGCAAGATGGCACCGCTTGGCCCAGCCTGCGAGACTTTCTTTTCATGGGCTCCTGCTTTGCCCCGACATTCCGGCATGCCCTTAAACTGAGTCCGGGTTTCCGGCTTGTCAAGAAAAAACTGTACTCCTCCTCGGCTGGTACCGTGGTAGAGGAGTGCTGAACTCCAGTAGAGTTTACAGTTTAATACGGGGTTTCCTGTGGGTTAATGCACTTTAGTCCAATTGTGAGTGCCACCCCAGTGGTGTCACATTTTCTACTGTTTCTCTTGTTTCAGTTAAGCTAGTAGCCAGTGAGTATAAAGTTAAGATTACTTGTGAAAAGCTCAATTGTTCTGGGTTTTTGCTTCATTAGCTACTTCATCTTTATTTTTAAATCGGCATAATTGTCATTCTGAATTTTTTTTTCTTCTTCCTACCAAAGAGCATTTGTTGCTCAAGCACTATTTTAAAATGTAGTTCCTGCTAATGAATGTAAAACTGTTCACATCAACATTTGTGAGGACATACTGTGGGTACACTTTTGTTGAAGACACCGGCCACTTTGTTGCATCTGTGCGTTTCCAGATGTATGGAATGTTCTGGAGCGTAAACACACCTGGGCTTTAGAAGACTTAGTCTTTAGGGGCCATATGGAGCTGCTTGTGTAATGCTGTGTTCTGGGCTGTGGATTTTTGTTTTTTTTTAAAGATGTGTGAAGATGCTGCTGTCATGGTGTGGGCTCCTCACACGAGGGGAATGCGGATGCCTTAAAAGTAATAGAAATATAAATTCTTCACTCTGATCACAGCAATGTCCTTGTGTGAATGTTTAATGGCATTTTTATTTTTATACGTCTCCCTCAGATGCACCCTTTCCCAAGTGGAATCTTTATATAATTAAAAGCTTGGTTCACCCAAATGTCTTGTGGTTTTGTTTTTTAATTGGACATGAACAAACTTTTGGACAATGAAATGTCCCGTCCTTGGCTGACTTATTCACTCTGCCCTGAGCATCTGGCTCTGTCCATGTTGTCCTTGGCCTGCCGAACGGTGGACAAAGCGAGCGTTTGAGTCAACAAGAATGCACTGCTACTGTGCTTGGGCCTGACCACTGGTGACCACTTGTAGTTTGGCAGAAGCTGCTGGTTTCTTCTGTAGAGTAAAGACTCCTGAAAAGCTTTCACTGAAACCGGAAAATGTTCCTGTTGCTCAGTGTCTTTTAGTAGAAGCCCCCAAAAGAAGCGAGACATCTTCTCTCCACAATGCTAATGTCACAGTTCTAGAATGCCTGAAATTTCAGCAGTGTCCCTAATCATTTCAAAGGGACTTTTGATGGTTTGACCCATCAGGATTTAAAGATTTTTCTCAGGTGAGACATTTGCAACAATTTTTTTTTTTTAAGGGCAGCCAGTGTTAAAAAAAAAAAGTAGGTTAAAATCATTAAGGTTTACCATTTCGTGTAAAAGTGTAACCAATTATGTAGTGACATCAAGGCGCTGAGCAGGCTGACAGTTGTAGGTTCATGAAAGGAGCATGTGATGTGCTGTTGCAGTGCTGTCATTGTGCAGGACAAAGAGACACTGCTCGGCTTTGCTGCTGGCAGCCTCCAACCCTTTCTGCCTAGCGTGGCTAATGTGGGTCAGCAGTACCAATCCGCTTTTTAAGTATGTGACCAAAAAGCCGCACAAAGGTAAGGCAAATACACTCTAGGTTAAAAGGACATAAAATAGTTATTGATACAAATATATACACAAAGTTACAGAGTGGGTAATATCACAGATCACATGGACAGACAGAAATGTAACCCACGGTTACTTTGTTGTTTGACAGAACGAGGCTTATTCTTGAGCTTTAGAGGCACTTGGTGTTAACTGTTTCTGTATTAGTGCGACTGCATGTTGCTATGATACCTCAAATCTATGCTCAATGTTTCAATGTGTAGCTAAACATTAAATGTCCTCAGTTGTTTGATTTGAGTCCATCTATAAACCCTCCACTGGTATTTAATGTAAATCTTATCTTGATTTGATATTAACGGTGAATTATATTGAGAATGCGGAAGTGATAAATACCCCTGTGCCGTTCCAAAACAATGTTGCAGCGACCTGGTGGAAAAGTACTGAAGGCCTTTTCACACGACCACATAAAGAATCTGAGCTCCTTTTCACTGACGTTGGCAGCTCATTAGTCGAGGCTCGCGAAGCTGCTGGTGGCTCTTGAGATCCTCTGTGTCAACATGATTCATCTGAGCCTGCACCGTGTGGGTTACCAGCCACAGCTGAAAAGAGTCAATCTTACTTACTGATGAGATGATCACATGCCCTCTGCCTACAGATGTTTGCCCGCTTTGAGTTGCTTCTCCATCCCCACGGGATCAGTCACTGGATAGGCCTGTTTGTATTAGAGTCCTGAGAGATATACTGGGCTTGTTTCCATGTTTCCTCCTGACCTGTTTAACGGCCTGCTTCTTGGAAGATGGAAATATGATAAACTTGGCTGAGGGAGTTATGCATGCCCCACTGGGACTCACTGTGTCTGATGATCTAAATATGTTTATCTGTGTCCAGAGTGTTTATGCTTATCATCTGTTTTGTCATTTTGACATACTTTTTCAGCATTTTCTCTGTCAGTATTATCATAACTGGTAGTCTGTGTAATCCTGAACAGACCTTGTTGGCTCTTTGACATTCTACATTAAACGAAAGCTTCATTACAAACTCAATGTTCTTCTGTTAAAGAACCACCTTTGGTCCATGGCAAATATGTCTAATATTGCTCAACAACTTTGGTTTTGATGTGGCTGTGAAGAGCACATTATCGTTCTAAATAGACTTGTCGTTTCTTTGTATCTGTGCTATTATGCAAATGGATTCATGGCATGCCTCCAATACAGGCCAAATGCTACTGGCTGTGTAGGCTCCTATGCTCCGAGTGCTGACTCCTGCACACAACACCAACAGTTGCGCAGTTAGCTGTACATACCAATGAACCGACCAATAAACCTTTGTGATTGTGGATAACATTACAATCCACTGGGTTCCTAACTTGTTCCCTTTCTTTCCTTTTTTGTTTCCTTCATAGATGGTTCTGTTATTTAGCTACTCAATACTAAAATGAAAAAAACAACAAATAGCATCTAACTGTGGTTATATGTTCTTTGCGAGCAGCCGCGTGATGTTATAGGTCAGTAAAACTTTGACGGAGTGTAGGCAGTAAATTCATATGAACACAGCGAATGATCAACTTTTTGACC